ACTAGAAGGGTTTTATATGGCTATTTTAAAAAGTTTCTAGTGCTCATCAGATGAACACAAAAGTCTAAGTTGAGAGTGGTGGTGATGGTTTCTTATATACTTTCTTATATACTTCTTCCAGCTTAATAAACTAGGCATTCACTTCTCCAACAGAAGAGAATATTTGTAGCTCAGATTTGAACTGTGGTGTCCTTGGTGCTGTCTGAGCTGGGTTGTTTTCTTGCAGATGTTTCATTACCCAACTAGGTAACATAATCAGTGCTAGAAGAGAGTGAGGTTTGCATCACTGATATCACCTAGCTGGGTAATAAAATGTCTGCAAGAAAACAACCCAGCTCAGACAGCACCAAGGACACTCCTCTTTTTGTTATTATTTCAAAGTTGTCTCACCCCCTTTATATTTACCATATACAGTTCAGAGTCCATGAAATAATCCTAACCTTCAATTTATCTCGTTTCAATTTTCAAACATCAGAATTCAGGACCAAAGCAGAGTACTGTTTCTCTCATCAATGATACAGGATCTTGAAACCACAGACAACCCACATAACTTACATGTTGGATGACTGGACTCTCTGGGCGGGGCTCCGAGTGGTTCTCTATTGTTTCGTCTCCAACAAGGGGGCTGAAAATGTTGCTAAGGCAGGCCTCTATCTGGGCATGCAAGAAGTTGTTGTAGGTATACTTGAAATAGAGATCCTGACGGTGAGAGGCAAAAGGATAGAATAGCAGGTCTTTATTTATGCTTTTTAACCAATGCCCCCAATTATCGTAGCATCAGTTATTCCCTCAGACATGGTATAGCATGGATCACTGGTAATAGGTGTTATATGGTTTGTATTTTTATTGAGCTGTGATGCAGTTTTAAATTATCTTGTAAAATGGATACTCAATATGGACCAAAAACTTAGCACTTTCAAAAAAACCTGAGATGCTCTTAGTTTTAATGGAGGCAGCTCCTGAAATATAATTGATTATGTAGCAATATCAGAAACTTAATAGACAAATCTATGCATAATTTGATTCTTCCTTATCAAATATACATTTTGGAAATTTATATTAATATGTTGTTCTTAGATGGTTATTTTGATTTGGCTTTTTAAAGATTTTTTTTAACCCATTGTTGTTTTTTCATATACAACTCAAGGGGGGAAGCATACCAATATTCCTGCTTCCTCCTGTTTTTCCCATAAAAACAATCCTATGATGTGAGTTGGGCTGAGTGTTTGTGCCTGGGCCCAAAGTCACCCAGGTGGTTTTTCATGCCTAAGGACTAGAAGTCAGTGTCTCCTGCTTCCTAGGCCAACACCTTTTTTTTTTTTTTTAATTTGATTTATATGCCGCCCTTCTCCGAAGACTCAGGGCAGCTTACAATGTGCTCAGCAATAGCCTTCATCCTTTTTGTATATTTATACAAAGTCAGTTTATTGCCCCCACAAACTGGGTCCTCATTTCACCTACCTTAGAAAGGATGGAAGGCTGAGTCAACCTTGAGCCTTGGCGAGATTCGAACCCTGCAGTAATTGCAGGCAGCTGGTCTTAATAAGCTTAATAACAGGGTGCCTTAAACCCCTGTACTACCAAGGCACCTTAACAACTAGATCAAACTGGCTCACTTTCTCTCTCTCTTTTGCTTGCTTAGGCAATATTTTTAACAATTAGATAATCTGTTGGATGGGTATATATTACAACTATTTTTTAACAAAATGCTTCTGATTTTTAAAAATTGCATTAAAAAACCCCAGCCACGTGGGCTTAGATATCAACAGTAAATTGATGATATCCAACTGTTCATTTTAGCTCCTGGTTGCTCAAATGACACTGCAGAAGTACTGTCTCAGTGTCTGGAGATTGTATGAGTGAGGAGAAAGAGGCTAAGGTTCAACCCTAGGAAGACTGAAAGACTGTGGATTTGGGGACCACAGGATTCTGAAGATCTCTCCCGCCCACCCGCTACCAGAATTTAGATGCAATCTATGGAGCCACTTGGACTCAGGATTCCTACTAAAAATATAGCTGATGACACTTGTAGCTAAGAGGCTCTTTGCATGAATCCATCTTATGCATCAGTTGTACATGATCCTGGATTGGGAGGCTCTGCCCTTGGATACTCATGCCTTGGCAACCTTTTGTTTGGATTATTGCGATGAAGTCAAGGCTCTAGTTCTCTCCACACAGGTCCAACGTTGTTGAAGTATTATCCATTTCTATTTCCTCCATAATATCAGAAGGGTTAATACATTCTATGTCCCATCTATTATATATTGCCATTCTGTAGCATCCAGGAAGTATGCCTTCTCTATTGCTATGTCTGCCCTATGGAATGGCAGGTGCCCCATCTCACCCCCAAATCCCAAATGACTTGGATCTTGATTACTTTTGGCAATCCTTGAAGACCCGGTTGTTCCCTTGGGCTTCAATGAATGAGCCAACAATATTTACTAATTGTTATTATGAAATGAATGTTGACTCTGATATCGTAAGTGTTTATACACTATATATCTTCTGTCATTTCTTTTTTTTTTCTGAATATTTTTATTATTAGAATTTTTAAAATTATTTTTAAAGTTATGACTGCCCAGATTTCTTTGGTAGCCATATAAATTGAATTACATTAATAATTTTGATATGTCAATATATATGAGGAGATATTACAGGTAGCCCTTACTTACTGACTGCAATTGGGATTGGCAATTCCATTGCTAAGCAATGTAATGCATTAAGTGTAATGTCACATGACTGCACTGATTTATGTCAGTTCCAGCTGCAGTCGTTAAGAGAATCACCATGGGTCATTAAGTGTGACATCATTTGACCTCAAACTAGCTACTGGCTTCCCCATTGACTTTGCTTGTTAGAAACTGGCCGTGAATCACAAATGGCGACCACATGACTGTGGGATGCTGTAACCATACGAAATGTGTGCCAGTTGCCAAGCCCCTTAAATCATGATCACATGACTGTGAGCATGTTGCAATGGTTGCAACTTTGAGGACTAGCTGTCTCATTTTTCATTGCTGTTGTAACTGTTGTGGCCTGCCAGCAGCCAGCAGAGCTGGCAGCAGATTTGGGCAGTGAGGAGATTGGGGAGGAACGTGGGCCTTTCCTGGAGTCTGGGAAGGCTCGGACGAGGGCTCTGAGTCGGAGACAGAGAGGGGGCCAAGGCCATCTGGTAGTTCTTTGCTCTTCTGGAGTCTCCGGAGTCTGACATCAGCGAGGCAGAAGAAGAGCGTGAGCCTGTTCTCAGTGTGTGAATGCACAGAGTTGCCAGGAGACAGGAGCAATTAAGGAAACAGGGTCGACTTGGGAGTAAGGCTTGCAGATGATTGGCCCTTCCCATAAGACATAAAAGGGAAGTGAACAGGATGTGAGCTTTTCCAAGAAGCAATTAGTTCATCTGGCCGATTCAAGATTTGAAAATTCTGTTTGTGACTCTGTATCAAGTTTGGTTTTGCCCTCCGTCTGGAAATTAGCTCTTGGCAGGGTTCCACGTGAGATAGGTGGGTGTTGATAGCTTCCTCTGAAAGACTGTTTATCAAACCTTGCGGACTGTAAATGAAAGTAATTTACAGCCGTATGAATTAAAGAGGTTTGCTGGGACTAAGTTTGCGCTGTTTAATTTCTAAGGAAGCCTAGGTCAGAACAGTAACTTTGAAGAGTTGTTGAATGAGTGGTCAGTACTGGGATTGATTCTGAACTGGCTCACTTTTTTGTATGTGTCCCGCAAAGGTCTCTCACAAGCCAAGCATTGCCCTTGAGCTACAAAATGTTACACAGCTTGCCTTTTGCCTCCTGCTCACAAAGAAATGGTGCTGCAAAATACTTAATAGATTCTACTGCATGTAGTGAGGCAGACAAATGGTTCGCCCACCGATCAGACAGAAATCTCAGCAAACAAGAGACAGTATTGATACTCACCAACATAGTGTCAAGGGCCCCAAATTCAATAATCTCATCCCGCAGTGCTGTGTTGTTTGTACCCAATGAGCTGGCCAGCAGCTTCACTACATGCAGACGAGTGTTTCCTAAAGGAGGGTCCAGGACCCCCCAGGTAGTCTGCAGAGCTTCTTTCTGTTAGAGGAAAAGTACATTAAAAAAATAATAACCCTAATATTCCAAAGCTTGAGCGGGTGAGGCCAAAATTTTTCTCTTCGAGAAATAGGCAGGGGCAGTTAAGAGGTAAAATAGAAGGCCTTGCACAATTTAAAATCTTGCTCCGCCACCTTTAAGAATTCCAGCTCCACTACTATGGTATCTTCCAACATTTCTTCCTATTTCCAAACTAATAATTCTTCCCTAAGAACATACATATTTTTTTTAAAAAAATATATATATAATTCATTTCCAGCATTTTTCATTGTTTGGCCATATATTCTTTCATATGATGAGTTCAGCAAGCGCTTAACTTACTCATTACTAATTCCCAAGCAGCTATCCTCAAATGTCTTGATAAAGCTAAACTCCCGAACCCTTGGACTGTGTAATCCTTTTCTATGACAACGCATTGTAGGTTCCATGAGGAAGACAGGGGAATCCTTCTGCAACCAACGTTCTGGAACACTTAAAATGCCATTGGCACTGCTACTTCCTTCCCTGCTGTTTCAATTGTACTCTAACCTTGCCTATACACATCTGTGTGCATGACTCCTACTAACCTTTGGTGGATCGAGGAGCAGCCGGTGAAGCTCCCTGAGACGCTGTTTGATGGCATGCAGAGTGCCCAAACTGGCCTGGCTGGAAGCCACTTCACAGTTGGGAGCAGTGATCTCCATCTGCCCCTCCATATTGCAATAAAAGCCCCCTATGCCACCCAACTCGCTCCTGCAAGGAAGATCAAAGGATGCACACATTACAGTGATACACCCTGACTGTCCACCTTTCTTGCTAAGGAAATGTAAACTCTTTGATGCAAATCAAATGTACCAAGGGAGCTATTCTGCACTCCTGTTCAAGAATCACTTTGAAGGAAAAACACTGGAACAGCCAAAGCCCTAACTTATGTGGTGGGAGTTACAGATGTTATGAACAAGAAACTGCACAGCAGAGAAACAAAAAAGATCAGCAACAGTTTCTAAAGTCATGGTTGTTTGCAGAGCCCTATTCCAGTTACTATAGCTTTCACAAGGTACTGTCTGAGGATTTCTTCTGATAGGAATCACCAGGTATTAATAATTTTTAAAATGAAAAACATGATCATCAGGATATAATATTGCTACCAATTATATTAATTTATTGAGGAATATTTCATATAATTCTACTAAGAGTTTTGGCTCTATATTACTCCTCTAAATGTAACTAATATTTTGTTCTCACAGCCCTCAATTTATTACATACCTGGGTCTTCGTGGTTCCAGCAGGGTCAGCAAGACCTGGATCCCATTGACTATGACAGACTCGCTCTGTTCTCCATCCAGCATATTGCTTAGCAGCTGCTCAATTGTCTCCTGTCTGGATGCATGGGAATGGAAATTGTTTTTACTAAACTGTCCCATGATCTTAGACCTGGCTATTCTATTTTTCATCTTCGCATATGCCACAATGATTTAGGCATACCACATAAAAAGAGGGAGAATAAAAAAGCAACAAAAATGTGATTTTTTTTTTATACTTAGGAATTGAACAAAATAGAGGAAGCTCAAGAGAGAGAATATTTTACTACTAGCCATGTGGTAATCCTCAGTCTTGACTCTGAACTATGTAGCAACGTCAACTTTCACACTTAAGGTGAGGACCCTGAAACCCTTCTGAGCTCCAAGATTCTGAAATAATATTCCGTGCAGATGCTTTATACTTGAGCATAACTCTGAGCAAAAGAAACATCTAATGGAAAAAGGGCCCAATGATCCTGTCAAATGATATTCCTGATAACTGATGTTCATCTCTCCTCTCCTGTGCTCCCCCTCCCAGTATGCTCAAAAGGCTAAGAAACCAGAAGCTTGCACTCTTGCCCTATAATTAAAACTTTGTTGTCTCTTGCCACTAATCTGACATTTTTAAATATAGGGGAATGAATCTAATTAACTGAACATAATTTGTGAAAATTAGCTATTTTAAATCTAGCTTTTGTCTTGGCCTGGCCCGTTTCTATAGCCTGGTCTTATTCCCTCTTTGGATTGTGGCCAGTAAAAAGCCATATATGACCTTCAACTAGAAAAAGGCTGTGCAGTCCAGCTCTGTAATGTTCTGAACACTACTTTTTCACTAAGAAATATGAAGCAAAGAATTGAGGGGGGGGGTCATTCAGCTATACAAGCCCTCCATAACTGCAGAATGACTGTGAAAGTTTAATTTCAAGCTTTAATGGGTGGGGGAAGTTTCTTCAAGTAACTTCTCAATGTATTATGTGACAAAATTGCTGTCGTAATTATGAAAACAGCTTCCTGATGAAGATTGAACTAATACCATTCTCTTCTTTTTGCCACCGAAACAATTACAAAATCCATTTCCCTAGCAATAACTATTTTTAAACCTACAGTATTTGTTAAATTTGTTACATCTGATTATTTCAGGTAATTTTGACTATTTCTGCCTTTTGTTAACATTTGATATTGTTCTATATAGCTTGCCTCATTATCTCAGAAAATGAGGAGTGTTTTTAAATTATGTTAAAGAAACCAAGAATCTTAAGGAGAGATCTCGAATAATATTAACAGCCAAACATGGAATCCAACTGCAGGGGTACATCAGTCTAAGCAGGGGTCCCTAACCCCCCTGGTCCATGGACCGGCACTGGTCCATGGCATGCCAGAAACAAGCAGAGCCCAATCTGCAGGATGCAGGCAGAACAAGAAACCATGCTCCCTCCGGTCCGCAGAAAAACCTCTCTCCACAGAACTGGTCTTTGGTGCCCAAAAGGTTGGGAGCCGCTGGCCTAAGACCAAGATATGTTATATTTCAATACCAATAGAGGCATTTTTACAACAAGAGAGAGGCATAGTATGCAGAGTAAAAAAACAAAGTTGGGAGCTTTTCATTAAGAAAAGATACTGGCTGAGTAAAACACCACCACAAATACAATGGCATTGTACTTTTTGAGTTAGTTCAAAGCCTGAATATACAACATGTGGGGTTTTTTAAAGCCTTGTATATAATTCCCAGAGTTCTTCTGCAGTTGCCAATAAACTAAAAGCGTTAATGTGACAGACGGGAGAAGATATTAAATGCAGGGGAAGTAATCATATTAACTATATTTAATGGACTATATTAAATCAAATTTAGTTAGGTAAACTCTGTTCACTTTTGTGATTGCAGTCTTGGCAACCCAATGAAAGATAAAACTGATTGCTCAGTCCCGAGATAGCCTTGTTCCCTCTTTTGCTTATAATTGAAATTGGATATCCTGTGCCCTGTTGGGTAATCATTTTAGAGATATTTTCTTACCTAAACAGAGAAATAGAATTACCAGGGATAGGAAAAACAGAAGCGAGAACAGAAGCAACTTTTGACTTCCTGCTGGCTCCTCCATTAAGTTTTCTTGTCGGAATCTGGCAGGGAGCACAGGAAATCTTCCCTTCCCCTCCCAGCAAGCAGGTAAATGACTGCTGCTGGGTGGGGGAAGGGATTGTGAGATTGGCTGGGAAACTGACACGAAATGTTAAAAATGAAGATTATATGACCTCAGTAGCAGCACAGCAGTACTGAAACAGCCACAACTTTCCCAAATTACATTCTCTTGAGTGTCAGGGGTCCAGGATTTTGGACATACTCTTTACATTAGCCCATTTGAGGTATCCTGGTTCAAAAGCTGTTGTCCTATGATGCACTATTTCACTCAATTAAAGGTCATGACAGTAGTATATAGATAGCAGTCATATTAAAAATGAGGTGAATTTTGATAAACAGGCATTTCTTCTTTCAAATTCATTGCAGCGTTAGAGAGTGACACTTATTTCTAACCTAAGGGCAATGGTGCCTCTTTTGTTCCCTGCTGCCGGTGCTTAGCACTCACTTCTCAAGCGTGGCCAGTAACTGGTCCGGCTCAGGACTATCCTGGATTTGGATCATCTGTTCACGGCTCAGCCGGATAATGTCACACAAAGACTGTGAAGCATTGGAATGTTGCTGGGAAGAGGGAACAAGAAAAAAGAAGTCTCCTAAAGATCTGGAATAGCTCCTCAATATACCAGAATTACAGTGAAGCAATTGCTTGTTTCAGTTTTCATCTACTGTTATCGGCCAGTAGAAAACAATTCAATAGCATGATGAACACTGCACACAATTTATATATAAACAAGTATTTCTATGGTTGTAATTGCTACTTACATTGTCATCTTTTGAAGGGTGAATCATCCCAATGAGCCTCTGCACAATTTTCTCCTCATTAAGCCACTTTGGATGATGAAAAAAAAAAGAATGGTAAGACTGAAGAAACATGTCTCGGTTCTACCCCACTTATACATTGAAACGTATTCAGGGACAAATGCAATTCCAATGATTGCATTTCCTTTCTCCAAAAGTCTTATCACTGAGCTATGTTTACTGGTGTAACAATAAAAAAAACTCATAATAAAATTTGAGCAGTGAAAAGGGTCAAAAGGAATGGAATATACATGTAAAAATAATTATCAAGATTTCAAAAGATTCAAGTGGTGGTTATTCAAGATAAATAGGTTAAAAAGTATTCACTGACTTTAAAGCTTTTATCCCTAATCCTTGATGGGCAGGAATGGTTCTTGCTTGGCAAAGATGCAAAAGAACACTGTGATACCTATAATAATCCATTTAATCCATTTAAGTCTTTTAAATGGCTACTGCTCACAAGAAAGAAAAATAGGGCATGACAGAGTTATAATATGGTTTGGATTGACTAACACACCAGATCTTTTACTTAATTATTTACCTCCACAGAAGGAAATAATACCATTTCATAACTGGTTATCACATTTCTAGACAAAAATAACAAAGGCGATATAGAAAACTACCGTATTTTCCGGCGTATAAGATGACTGGGCGTATAAGACGACCCCCGACTTTTCCTGTTAAAATATAGAGTTTGGGCTATACTCGCCGTATAAGACTACCCCTCTTCCAACGCACACCAAATAAAAATTAAGAAACATCAACTGGCTCACCCACAATGTAAAAGCAGCTGTCTAGACCCAAAATGGCCCCTGCAACAAGCAGGAACCTCACACAGCCACAAAAAGCCCCCCCCCCAAAAAAACAACTTTCACACTTTACACACACACAACACAACACAACTGGGCTCACCCACAATGTAAAAGCAGCTGTGCTAGACCCAAAATGGCCCTTGCAACAAGCAGAAACCTCACACAGCCACAAAAAGCCCAAAAAAACAACTTTCATACTTTACACACACAAAATTCCACATACAGCTTTGTGAGATTTTGTGTGTTTGTGTAGTTAGAGTGAAACACTACAGAAACACACTAAATCTCAGAAAGCTGCACAAATATTATTTTATTTTATTTTTATTTTTATATGAAAACTAAATTTAAAATTTCCTAAACTTTAAATGGCTAGGTCTAAAAAAGAACTAAAAAAAACCCCAATTAACTATTTTTTTTAAAGCTCCCAAAGGGGAAAAAAACTTACCCAATAGAACAGGGGTCTCCAACCTTGGCAACTTTAAGACTTGTAGACTTCAACTCCCAGAATTCCTCAGCCAGCTTTGTTTTGCTGGCTGAGGAATTCTGGGAGTTGAAGTCCATAACTCCCTCCCTGCTTGATTGCAGGCAGGGAGTGGCTTGCTGATGGAATGGATTCAGGCAAGCGAAGCAAGGCAAGCGTTGCTACTAGCAGCTAAGGTAAGCAAGCTGGAGGGGGAAAACTTTTTTCCTTTTACATGGCTCTGGCGATCCCAGCTGAGTTGCCTGATTATCAGGCAAAGCTGGGATCGTCAGAGCTTGGATCGCCAGAGCCATTTAAGGCTCATCAGAGCCTTTCGGGCTGGTCTGCCTGGTTACAGGAGAACGACATCCGGCGTATAAGACAACCCCCAACTTTTGAGAAGATTTTCATGTATTAAAAAGTCGTCTTATACGCCGGAAAATACGGTATATTGTTTGCTCTTTCAAGGAAGCTAAGAGAAGTAGAGAAGAATGCCTATAGCTGGATCCTCACATTGAATACATCTTGCCTGAGCTGTGATTGCTCCACACAGGTTAGGAGTCGCAGCAGGAGGTCCATGATGGCTGAGGTACCAATATGATGTAGCAGCAGGTTGACAAAGTCATCCTTCTTACGCAAGAAGGCAACTATCTGGAAAAAAACAAATAAATTAGGGTTGAGGGAAGGGGGAAAAAGCCACTCTGGAAACAAATGACCCTACAAACTTCTATCCTCAATATGGGAATGGAATAGTCAATTCCCCCATCAGGGAAAGAAAATATGTATTACATATAGCCGAGTCTTTAGTTGATTTGTTAACAATCCTGCGCAGGAACGGGCCATACTGCATATCAGACTAATCATGAAGTCCACATTTTTGCAATCCTTGGGCAGTATAATGTTTAGACCATATAACTGTGATTAGGTATCTCCAGGTTCAAATTCCTACTCAACCATGAAGTTCAAATGAGTCATTGCTGTTTAACTTAGCATACAGAAATGTTATAAAGATAAATGGGATATACTTCCTTAAGGGATGGGCAGGATAAAACAAATATCATAGCAGCAAGATTACAGAGAATCTCCATTTTGAAACATTACCTTATTTTACAAATTAGCCAATCATATGCTTTAAGAAACTTGATCATTTGATAATAATCCAATAATTATTCTCAATAAAATTATTTATTACTAAAACGTATATTATTTTTACATGATAATTAATGTTTAGGATGTTATCTTTTCATACAGGAGCTATATTTACACTACTGAAGATCCACTAAATAACTGGTTCAATAAATTCATGACAAGCTGTATTCTAGGTCTTCTATAAGTTATTTTCAAAGTTCTCTGTGACACTATGAGCCACAGTGGCGCAGTGGTTAGAGGGCAGTACTGCAGGCTACTCCTGCTGACTGACTGCAATCTGACAGTTCAAATCTCTCCAGGCTCATCCAGATTGTTGGGGCCAATATGCTGACTCTGTAAACCGCTTAGAGGGTATATAAGTCTAAATGCTATTGCTACACCTGCTTGGCTAGGTAGCTGCCCCCTAGCTGACCTTCAATGAACTTGAAAAGCTAATCCATTGTAACCTGGTTAGTATTTGATAGGAGAACACAAGAAGAACTCAAGCAGCCCAAGAAGTTAAAAGTGTATCCTGGAAGAAGGCAGTAACAAACTGCTTCCATACTGTGTCAAGAAAGCTAGGTGAACACACACATGAAGATACTACTTCAATGGAGTCTTTGCCTTTTGTGTGTATGAATGAACAAACTAGAAAGAAAAATGAGAGAAGTCTCTTGAGACAAATCATATGATTAGTGATGAAGGGAGTTATCAATTATGATTAAGCTATATTTCTTTATTTAGTGGTCCAGAACGCCTTTAAGACATTACCTGATCAGTCTTACGGTTGATAAGAATCCCCATAACCTTGCTGAAGAAGCTGGCCAACAGAGGGTTGAGGATTCCACCAGTCTGAAGGAAGCCATAGAGACGTCGCAGGAGAGATTCATCCTCACCCAGTGCATCATTTATCTGTGTGACGTCGGATGTCAAGATCTCACAAGAAACACTTGGATATCTAAAAAAAGGGAAGTTTTAAAAGCAGATATGGACCAAACTCTGCTGCACAAATATCTCTCCTACGTTTGACTACTGATTGAAGATGACGAAGATGAAGACAAATGATCTGCACAATAAAATATTAACATAATCTATTCAGAAAATGATGTTCTGTTTTTCTAATTTACATTCTTCTCTGAGGTAGATTCCATAATATATTGGTATTTCCTTGATTTGTCCAGTTCATTGCAAATATGTTAAAGGATGGCAGTGGGATATTTCCAGAACACTATATATTCATCAATTACCCAATACAAGTGTCACCACTGTTCTTTGAATTTCAGTGATGGTTAATATAAAATTATAGTAAGAAACTACTTTGAAGCTTTGAATAATAACCATATGTGATAATAAATTAATAAAAAATTATACAATTATCATCTGTAATAATTATCATGTGCCAGTCATCTGCATATTGACAAAATTTCCATCTGTTAATTACAAAAGCTGTGCTGTTTGGATTTGCACATGTACTAAAACTGATAGATTATAACATCCTAGGTTCTTCAGAAGAACTTGATACATATGAATGCCAACACCAGCTAAAGAACTGATAGCTATGATTTCACATTGCTGCATAGCTGAAAAAAATGATAAAAGAAACTAAATTGTTCTGGGACTTTAGAATTCAAACTGATAGGCACCTGCCACATAACATCCCAGACTTAACAACTATTGATAAGAAAGATTAAAAAAGTCTGGATAAGGGAAATGGTAGTACCTGAAGACAGCAAAAAAACTTATGTTGCTAAGTAAGAAATTTGTTAAGTGAGTTTTGCCCCATTTTGCAACCTTTCTTGCCACAGTTGTTAAGTGAATCATTGCAGTAGTAATACAATTGTTAAGTGAACCTTGTTTCCCCATTGACTTTGCTTGTCAGGTCACAAAAGTGGATTGCATGACTTCAGGACACCGCATCTGTCATAAAGTAGTCCCGACTGGACTACTGCAATGCTCTCTACATGGGGCTCCCCTTGAAGAGCATCCGGAGGCTCCAGCTGGTCCAAAATGCGGCCGTGCAGGTGATTATGGGAGCGGCGGGGCGCTCCCATGTAACACCTCTCCTGTGCAAGCTGCATTGGCTCCCAGTGGTCTTCCGAGTGCGATTCAAGGTGTTGATTAACATCTTTAAAGCGCTCCATGTCTTAGGACCTGGGTACTTACGGGACTGCCTTCTGCTACCGACAGCCTCCCACCAGCCAGTACGCCCCCACAGGGTGGGGCTCCTTGGGGTGCCGTCAGTCAGACAATGTCGACTGGCGACCTCCCAGGGGAGAGCCTTCTCAGTGGGGGCTCCTGCCCTCTGGAACGAGCTGCTCCCGGAGGTACGGAGGATCCCGGACTTGCGCACCTTCCGCTGTGCCCTGAAGACTTTGTTATTCCAGCAAGCCAGGCTAGCCTAATTTTAACGGTTTTAAATTTTAAATTGGATTTTAATGGGATGTTTTATTGTGAGCCAAAGTATTTAATCTGGTTTTAAATTGTTTTTAATTTTTATATTTATGTATTTGATCCTGATTGTTCACCGCCCTGAGTCCTTCGGGAGAAGGGCGGTATATAAATATAATAAATAAATAAACAAATAAATAAATAAATAAATAAATGTGAGTCAGTTGCCAAGCATTCAAATTTTGATCACGTGACCATCGGGATGCTGCAAAATGATCATAAGTGTGAAAAACAGTCATTAGTCACATTTTTCAGTGCCATTGTAACTTTAAATGGTCACTAAATGAACTGTTGTAAGTCAAGCACAACCTGTAGAAATGAGACATGGCAAGGCAAAGTATTACATGGCCAGTACATAAAAAAAACAGTAGGCAAAGTAAATAACAACCAGATTTAGCAATGGCTAAAAGCAGGAAAGTTAAAGAAAGAGACAAAGGGCCTAATTCTGGCTGCATAAGACCAAGCCTTAAGAAATGTATAGGTAGTCCTCAACTTACAACAGTTTGATGACCGTGTGAAGTTACAACAGCATTAAAAAAAAGTAACTTATTATCATTTTTCATGCATATGAACTGTTGCATCATTCACATGGACACATGATCACAATTCAGATACTTGGCTACTGACTCATGATGTTGTGGTCTGTCAGCGGCCTGTGCAGATTGTAGCTGATTCTGACAACGAGGAGGCTGGTGTGGTGCTGCACCAGCAGCCTGTGCAGTGGCGCTGTAGTCTGACAATGAGGAGGCTGGAGAAGATGTGGTGCCAGAGGCAGGGATTCAGCCAGGGCCTTCAGAACCTCCAGAAACTCCTTTAAGTGAAGAGGACGAAGAGGAGGAGCCTCTTCTCAATGCACGGGCGTGTAGAGCTGCCAAAAGGCAGGAGTGGCTCCTCAGGAGGAGGTCTCCTCGAGAGTAAGGCTTGGGGCAAATTGGCCACTCCCTTAGCCTATTTAAGGAGGAACGCCACTTGCAGCAAGCTGTAGGGAACAACTTTAGTTCAATCTCCTCCACGCCTAGATTCTCTGCAAAATTGTATCTGGGCTTTCTGCCAATTCTAGTAAGACTGTGATTACCTTATCTTAGAATTCTGGTAGGCTGTTAAGACAGTATTAACAGCCTTTGGTTGATAAAGTCTAAGTTATTTGAGTAAAATAAGCTTTGTATAGAGTTTGTGTGTGGTGCGTTCTCTGGGGTCCGTAGCTGGGACAGAATACATGTTTATGACTGTTGCAGTGTCCCCAGGGCCATGTGATCCTCTTTTGTGACCTTCTGACAAGCAAAGTCAATGGGGAAGCCAGATTTACTTAACAATCGTGTTACTAATTTAACAACTGCAGTGATTCACTTAACTGTAGCAAGAAAAGTTGTAAATAGGAGCAAAACTCATTTAACAAATGTCTCACTTAGCAACAGAAATTTTGGGCTCAATTGCAGTCATAAATTGAGAGCTATCAAAGTCAGAATTGAGAAGACTGCAACAGGAAGCAGATGCCACCTCTACAAAGAAGCTGAAGAAACAGTGGACCAACCACCTGATTAGCTGCTGCAAGATCATACAGTCTGACCAAAAACAACAGGACAAGTAGCAACAATGGTGCACTGGAATATTTGGAAGAAATACCATTTGTCTGCAAGCAAGAATTGATGGGAATCACAAAATAGACAAAGTAATAGAAAATGAAGAAACGAAATTGCTCTGGGATTTTAGAATTAAAACAGATAAGTGCCTGCCACATAGCATCCCACACTTAATAATTGTTGATAAATAAATAAAAAAAAACTGGATAGTGGACAAAGCAGTATCCAGAGAAAGCAGAATAGAAGAGAAAGAATTAGAGAAAATAACAAAATACAAAATAGAAGTAGAAAGACTGTGGCAAAAATAGTACCAACAGTAATAGGTTGTAATAATTGCCTTGGGTGCAATCCCAGAATAACTGGAACAGCACTTGAACACCATTAGCATTGACAAATCACCACCAGTCAATTGCAAAAGGCAGCTTTACTTGGAACTGCCTACATCCTGTGACGATAACTTTAATATACCACAACGCCTGTCTATTTAAGGTCCTTGGGAAGGACTCAATAGGTGAATAACAATATCAGATCCAGTCTAAATATCTGACTGTGCATCCAATTATAATAATAATGGATGCCATACCAAGAAATCTGGAATGACACTTTAAAAATCTGAGTGTTGAAAAAATTCTACCTGTCAATTACAAAAGGCTGCTTGGATCTGCCCATATACTATACCAATCCATTACAACATCCTAGGATCTTGGGAAAAACTTAATGCGTGTGAAAGCCAACACCAACTAAAGAACTGGCAACTGTGGCTTTACGTTTTTGTCTGTGTAATAATTACTAGGTGGATAAAAATGCCAAATCCAATCTAAACATCAGGCTGACTGTGGACCATCCATAATATATTAAACTTGTATGCCACCTGATTCTGAAAGACTCTGTCATGAAAAGCTAGAGTATATAATAAACACAGGATTCATACATAATTTTGCTGTAAAATTAAAGATCTATGTTTATTTTCTGCTGCTGTGCTATTTTAGTGCTTACTCATTCAAGGCACAATTAGAACAACCATGGGTGGAAAGGCTTACACAACCCAAGCAACCGTCTATCATTTCTAGAATTACCTAATTATTCTGTATACTGAACTTCTACTAGAATTACTGAGTTGGTGATTCAGTAAGCACTCTTTCTATGGCATCTGGGATCTCCCCCCCCCCAATCAGACCAATTTAATTTAACTTCTAATTATGTTTTCCAGATTGCTACTACATTGCCCTCATTCTGTACATTCAAAAGCAGATCAAACACCATTGATTTGGTTTGTTAACTATTGCACATAGCATTCTCTCAATTTATACACAGAAAATGGTTAAGTAGAAAGTTTGACCACTGACCTGTTATTTTCCACACTGGCTTTGTTCACAAGTTACAGGTGAATGAATAATCTACCCCTGCAGCCAACTGATCTCCATATGCTAGTAGCACATGACTGCAGGTAATTCAATTAGTTCAGTAGAAATTTATTCTGTTTTTCCAGCTACCACTTCACTGCCCACTTTATGGCATGTTACAGGTGGGCAGGGAGGAGTCTAGTGTAGTATCATTGAGATCAAAACTGCTATGGACAGGAAGATAGGAATATATCCATCCCCACTCATTTATGCTCCTTTTATACCTTCCTGCATGATGTGGAGATGAAAACCAGAACAGCTGGTGCTTAGAACAGCCCCATTTTTATAGACAGCTCTTAGGATAATACTCCAGTTAAACATTTTACCTCCCCCCTCTTCGTGCCCATTAGCTAAGTATTTGTGTGGAGAGGATGCAAAATATGACTCTCCACAATAGAATTGGGAAGGATGAGTCCAACACATAAATCTCCCTGATTCTGGACATTTTGAAGATTACGT